AGACCGGGCCCCGAACCTCGGTCCGGACATTCCAATTGCCCGGCGATAGAGCATATCCGGGAGGGCCCTTCGCCCTTCCTCCCTCACCCCTCCCTACAGCCTGAGCCTCTCTGGTAGGATTATTTGGACCACCCCCCTACCTTCTCTCCCCTCCTCGTACCACCCCCTGGATCGGGGGGGTAAGGGAGTGGGGTAGGGGTGGGAGGGAGGGATAAAGGAGGGGTCCTGACAGAGCTCGGTAGGATAAGCAGAGGAAGAGGAGAGGATCGAGGGGAGGGAAAGAGAAGGGAAGGGAGAGGGAAGGGAGAGGTCAGGTGATGTGAGGGAGAGACAAGGAGAGAGAAGCGATAGAAAGAGACAAGAGAAGGGAAGGGAAGGAGAGGAAGGAGGAAGGGAGGGAGGGAGGAGGGAAAGAGGGAAAGATGAAGGGATAGAGGAAGGAAGGGAGGAGGAAGGTAGGGCAAGGCTTGCTTCATGTGTCTTCTCGATGGACAAGCACATACAGATAAGCGATGCCTACTAGACATACTAGACACATGCAAGAGATAGACGTGTGAGAGGCTCAAGGCTGTCAGACAAGCCTGAGAGGTCCCGCTGCTCATCCCTGCTACAGGCCTCTCGCTCTCTCTGACTCCTCCCTACGGACCTCAAGCTCAAGCACGACGAGGACGACGAGGACGGCAGACGGCCTGCTTGAGAGGAGCGAGGGAAGACGGGAGGTCCTTGTGCTGGGGCTGCAGGACGAGCAAGGAGGAGGATGAGCCAGGTCTCCGACGACGAGCAGCAGAGCATGGAGGACGAGAGGAAGCGGCAGCAGCTGATCGAAGCGATCGAGAGAGGAGATGAGGTCCAAGTGAGAGCGCTGGCCGTGAGTGCAGGAGCAGAGCGACTGAAGCAGAAGCATCCAGTAGGACCAGCGAGAGTCACGGCCATAGTCAGCGGGAGTGACGATGAGTCCTTGAGGGTGTGGGACCTTGGGAGCATCAAGCAGAAGGCTTGTCTTGAGGGTCATAGTGACTGGGTAACGAGCGTGGCGATCAGCGAGGACGGCAAGACGGCTGTCAGCGGGAGCTGGGATAACACGTTGAGGGTGTGGGACCTTGCGAGCATGACGGAGAAGGCTTGTCTTGAGGGTCATAGTGATACGGTAGAAAGCGTGGCGATCAGCGGGGACGGCAAGACGGCTGTCAGCAGTTGCATGGACTCCTTGCAGGTATGGGACCTTGGGAGCATGACACAGAAGGCTTGTCTTAGAGGTCACAGTCAAATGGTATTTCGCGTGGCGATCAGCAAGGACGGCAAGACGGCTGTCAGCGGGGGAAAGGATGGGACCTTGAAGGTGTGGGACCTTGTGAGCATGACGCAGAAGGCTTGTCTTGAGGGTCATAGTCATAAGGTATGGAGCGTGACGATCAGCGGGGACGGCAAGACGGCTGTCAGCGGGAGTAGGGATAAGACTCTGAGGGTGTGGGACCTTGGGAGCATGAAGCAGAAGGCTTGTCTTCAAGGTGACTTTGATTGGGTGACCAGCGTGTCTATCAAGTGTGTCACGGAGTCTGATGGCTCGGTGCTGCACGTGGCGGCGGCGCGAGGCATCTGGTCTGTCTGTGAGAGGCTGCTGGAGGTCGGGGGCGGAGAGCTCGGGGAGCTGCGAGACTCGCTGGGACGAACAGCGGCGGAGGCAGCGCGAGAGAGGCAGGACGAGGAGCTGGCGAGCAAGATAGAGGGCTGGATGCGGCGGCTATGGAGCGGGGAGCTTCTGTCAGCGGCACTGCAAGGCAACGTCAAGCCCGCGCAGGAGGAAATGGAGCGACATGAGAGGTGTAGAAGCGACAATACGAAGAAGCGCCAGCGCGAGCAGCAGCGCCAGCAGAGAGACGCGGAGCAGCAGGCGTTTGACGACGACAACCAGCAGGGCGCTGTTGCTCAGGTCCTGTTTGTGTCTGTATGAGGGTCGATGACTGATGTGATCCTCTCGTCTCCAGCTGGGAAGCGTGCGATCGGTGGACTACAACAGCCTGGTCGACAGTCGTCAGGTCGGCTCAGGCTCCTCCAAGCTCGTCTACAAGGCTCGCTGGCTTCAGCCGCACGCCAGCACCGCTGACGTGGCCATCCTACGTATCCGAGGCAGCGGAGCTACTGCCAGGAGACAAGCTCTCGAGCAGGAGGTCAAGACCTGGCACCGGTCGTTGTGTGCAGCAGCCGCCACTGCCGTCAACTCGTCATGTTTTTCTTGTCTCCTCTCCTTGTCTTTCTCCTCCTGCTCCCTCATCCTTCTCCTGCTCCCTCCCCCTGTCCTGTCCTGTCCTGTCCTGTCTTCTCCTCTCCACACGAAGGGGGTAAGGTTATACACCCTACCCCTCAATGAAGGACTTTTTAATCTCCTGCTCCTGCTCCTGCTCCTGCTCCTGCTCCTGCTCCTGCTCCTGCTCCTGCTCCTGCTCCTGGCTAGGTCGCCTCCTCCCGCAGGCGTCACGTCAGCAGCAGCTTCTTGTCTTGCATGTCGGGTTGTGCTGGAGGAGCTGAGGGACACCCAGAGGTCTTGCTCACGGGGGGGCGATGAGGCGGAGGAGCTGAGAGGATGTGGTCACGAAGCTGGCCGGCATGGATGGAGATGAAGCTTGTTGCTAGGGGATCACCCGAGCGCTCTTAGACGCATGACCGTGACAGGTGAGGCCTCCAGCTGACAACAGCTGGTCACTTGACCCCTCCCGGTCTGCTCCGAGGCCCTCGCCAGCTGACCCCTGCATTCAAGGGTGGATCAGCCGAGACTGTCAGAGCTCATACAGCACCGGGGGGTTGTAGTGTAGATAGAGCAGTGAGCTTGTAGGTTGCCTCGCGAGGCTGCCGCTGAGCTAGAGGCTCAGTGAGACGGCGGGGAGGTATGGCGATGTGGAGACGAGGAGGAGAGTGGCAGTCTTGGCTCTACCTCTCTCCCTCTTGAACAACCCGTCACTCTCCTTTCCTTGCTGGCCACACTGTGCTCGACCTACGGCCACAGCTGCACCTCAGGCCGTGAACGCCTGTGAGCTGCCTCTATAAAAGACTGAGTCGATTTGATTTCATTCGTCGCATCCTGACTATTGATCTTGTACAGACAGTACGGACCGAACACGATGAAACAGAGTCTGAGTCTCTGACTCAGGCCCCGCCCACGGCCGGGCCAGTGCCGGGATGGGAGTTTCCGGGGCCCGGGCCGGGCCGGTCACCGGCAGGTCCCGAGTCCCGGATCCGAGGCACTGCTGGTCGGCAAATGTTTCGGTGAGACATAGATATTTTGAAATCAGACCCGAGAATTTCAAAGTTCGCTGATAATGCCTCGACTGCTTCATGTAAAACTGCCCAAGTTCCACCTACCCCTATCCTCTGTCATCTCCGCCAGAGTCTGACACCGGTACTTTGCATATAAGATGCATCTAACATAAAGGGTAGGGTACCCTACCTCTACCGTGTAGTTACCTTGCCGGTTGGGTTGAACATTTCATGCCGGGAGGGAGGAGAGGAGACGGAAGAGAGAAAAACGAAGACGTTGAAGGACTTATACTCTCTTGTCTTCTGTTCTGTTCTGTTCTGTTCTCTTCTGTTCTCTTGTCTTGTCTTGTCTTGTCCTCATCTCACCTCTCTTCTCTCCTCTCCTCTCCTCTCCTCTCCTCTCCTCTCCTCTCATCCTGTACTTTATTTCACTTTTCTTTTCTTCTCTCCTCGTTTCTTCTCTTCTTATCTCTTTTCTTCTCTTCTTCTCTTTTTCTCTTCACATCTCACTTCACTTCATTTCATCTCTCCTCTCCTCTCCTTGTCTACTCCCACTTGTTCTCTCGTCGTCTCCGCTGTTTGACTATCCTCTTCTGCGTTTTCCCCATCTGCCTTCTCTCCGTTATCTACTCTCCTCTCCGCCAGCCTTTTCCTCTGACCTGATCTTCTCTTCTCTTTGATCTGCTCTCCTTTCACCTGCTTCCCCTCTCCTCTCCTCTCGTGCAAGATCTTCTTCTCTCCGGTCACATCTGCTCCTCTCAGTCCCTTCCTTTCCTTCTTTCCGTCTCTTTCCTTCTTCCCCATTCTCCTCCCTCCTCTCTCCTCTCCTTTCCTCTTCTCTTTCCTTCGCTTTTCTGATCGCCTTTCTACTCTACTGTCCTCTCCTCTTCCATCCTTACCTGCTCTCCAAGAGGAGAAGCTCTCGCCTCCTCTCTCCTCGTCTCCTCTCTTTCGCTCTCTTATCTTTTATCCTCTCTCCTCTCCCTTCTCTCTCCCCGTGCGCTTCCTCTGACGGTACGCTCTTCTGTTCTTCACTTGTCTGCTCTCCCTCTCCTCTTCTCTCTCTTCTCCCGTCTCGTCTTTCTCTCTCTGCAGACAGCTGAGGCTGGAAGAGAAGCAGCTTGACAAGGAAGAGCAACGAGAGAGCAACGAGAGAAGAGAGAAAGACAAGGGAAGGGAGAGAGAGAGAGGGTGAGAAAGGGGAAAGATGAACAAGCAGTAGACAACGATAGATGTTTACAAGATGTTTAGGAGGTGAGAAAGGGGGGAAGAGGGCCAAGAGAGAATGAAGAGAGAAAGAGCAGAATCACGACCAGCAGCCCAGATGCAGAAAGAGGGAGAAATAGAAGGATAAGACGTGAGGTATGTATGAGGAGACAGACGCGAGCGGAAATAAGAGCAGAAGAACAAGCAGAAGAGATCGAGAGATCTTTGAAAGACAGACAGAAGAGAGGCAGAGGGAGACAGACAAAAGCAAGAGACATTCTAGTGACAAGACTGACAAAAAGAGAAATACGAGAGACAGTACAGACATACAAGAGATAGACCTGTGAGAGGCTCAAGGCTGTCAGACAAGCCTCAGGAAGGAGGAAGGAAAGGAGGGAGGAAGGGAAAGAGGGAAAGATGAAGGGATAGAGGAGGGAAGGGAGGGGAAAGGTAGGGCAAAGCTTGCTTCATATGTCTTCTCGATGGACAAGAGAGACGGACACATAGACAAGGGAGAGAGACGGAGAGACACGACAGGGGAGATAGAGAGAGACAAGAAGAAAGACTGATGAGGAGACGACAACAAACGCACATGTACAAGAAGAAGAGGTCGACAGACGTGTGAGAGGCTCAAGGCTGTCAGACAAGCCTCAGAGGTCCCGCTGCTCATCCCTGCTACAGGCCTCTCGCTCTCTCTGACTCCTCCCTACGGACCTCAAGCTCAAGCACGACGAGGACGACGAGGACGGCAAACGGTCTGCTTGAGAGGAGGAAGGGAAGACGGGAGGTCCTTGTGCTGGGGCTGCAGGACGAGCGAGGAGGAGGATGAGCCAGGTCTCCGACGACGAGCAGCAGAGCATGGAGGACGAGAGGAAGCGACAGCAGCTGATCGAAGCGATCGAGAGAGGAGATGAGGTCCAAGTGAGAGCGCTGGCCGTGAGTGCAGGAGCAGAGCGACTGAAGCAGAAGCATCCAGTAGGACCAGCGAGAGTCACGGCCATAGTCAGCAGTAGCAAGGACAAGACGCTGAGGGTGTGGGACCTTGAGAGCACGGAGCAGAAGGCTTTTCTTGAGGGTCATGTTGATGCGGTATGGAGCGTGGCGATCAGCGGGGACGGCAAGACGGTTGTTAGCGGGAGTGACGATACGACGCTGAGGGTGTGGGACCTTGGGAGCATGACGCAGAAGGCTTGCCTTGAGGGTCATAGTGATAGGGTATGGAGCGTGGCGATCAGCGGGGACGGCAAGACGGCTGTCAGCGGGAGTAGGGATAACACGTTGAGGGTGTGGGACCTTGGGAGCATGAAGCAGAAGGCTTGTCTCGAGGGTCATAGTGATGAAGCATGGAGCGTGGCGATCAGCGGGGACGGCAAGACGGCTGTCAGCGTTAGCGGGGATGGGACGCTGAGGGTGTGGGACGTCGACAACATGGAGGAGAAGGCTTGTCTTGGGGGTCATGTCAGGCGCGTGGCGATCAGCGAGAACGGCAAGACGGCTATCAGCGGTAGCGGGGATAAGACGCTGAGGGTGTGGGACCTTGGGAGCATGACGCAGAAGGCTTGTCTTGAGGGTCATAGTGATAGGGTATGGAGCGTGGCGATCAGCGGGGACGGCAAGACGGCTGTCAGCGGGACCGTGGATGGGACGCTGAGGGTGTGGGACCTTGTGGAGATGGCGGAGAAGGCTTGTCTCAAGGGTCATAGCAGTTGGGTATTGGGCGTGGCGATCAGCGGGGACGGCAAGACGGCTGTCAGCGGGAGTAGGGATCAGACGCTGAGGGTGTGGGACCTTGAAGAGATGGAGGAGAAAGCCTGCCTCAGAGGTCATTGTGCTGCCGTATTCAGTGTGTCACTCAAGACTGACATGGTTGATGGCTCGGCGCTGCACGCGGCGGCGGCGCGAGGCGTCTGGTCTGTCTGTGAGAGGCTGCTGGAGGTCGGGGGCGGAGAGCTCGGGGAGCTGCGAGACTCACGCGGACGAACAGCGGCGGAGGCAGCGCGAGAGAGGCAGGACGAGGAGCTGGCGAGCAAGATAGAGGGCTGGATGATGCGGCAGAAGCGTGTTTCCAACATAGACAAGAGCACTACCCTGCGATCTGCGGTGAAGGCGGCGAAGCGGCATGGTTCATCCATAGGCTTGCAGGGGGTAGCAAAGCTGTCGCTGCTTGAGCTGATGGAGAAGATGTGCAGCAATGAGCTCGCCTCAGGAGCGCAGGCGCACATGTCCTTACTTGCTTTGGTAGAGTTGCTGGGCAGCAGGGGCCACGAGGCGTATGTGCGTATGCGGGAGGCTTGGGGTAGAGTGCGGGCCTTGCAGGGTGAACTCGATACCAGACAAGCTGAGGTCATGGGATGCGCGAAACAGAAGAAGAATGCGAGCATAAAGACGCGAAACAAGACGAGGACAGACCTGATACAGGCATCTGACGAGCTGGTAGCTGTGAAGGCGGTTGTAAGGCTCGTCTGGTGGAGTACAAGCAGGCAATAGAGGGGCTTGTAGGAGGAGTCCAAGCGTGCTTGGGCAGCTGTGACGTTGATCAAGCTGATCCAAGAAGTGCAGCTTCGTATTGCTGTTCTGCACAAGATCTTGAGTGCCGGCTAGAAGAAGCGAGGTCGATGGTATCCGAGTGGGTTGAGATGGTGAATGGGAGGCTGGCTACTGCAAGGGAGGAGAGGATAAAGGTCGCAAGCCGATATGCCGATAGCCTTCGCCAGCTGGTGGGAATGCTGGATGGGAGCTTGGCCGTGACAAGCGGCGGAGACACGAGCCAGCTCGAAGACGCTCTGCCGGAGACGCACATGGCGCTTGAGGCAGCGTTTGTGTCTGAAGACGAGGTGTGGGTGGACAGCTCTTTGATCGACCAGTTTCCCCTCGGCACGTTACTGTCAGTGCTGAGGCGAGCTCTGTCATGGGCACAGACTGTTTCCTTCGAGCTAGATCAGATGGCAGATGTCGAGGGCTTGAGCAGTTACAAGAAGACGTTTGAGAGCTTAGAAGACCCGCAGCGTCTGCTGGACAGGTGGGGAGAGCTGAAGCAGGCGGTTGAGCGCCTGGAAGATGAGATGTTCGATCACAAATCTGACCTAGAGAGGTGCAAAAGGAAGAAGATGGCCTACAAGGATGTAGAGAAGAAGAAAGAAGCGATCCGAACGAAGCTCGTGGCAAGCGCCAAAGAGCTCGAGAGGACGGAGAGCAGGCTGTGGAGCATGGCCTGTCACTATCCTGAGCACAGAAACAAGTTGAAGCAGGACATGGAGCGCAAGGCAGGGTGTAGCGACGGAGATTTTGTGTTTGGGCACGAGACTATGGACATGTTCAAAGTGGTTGACCGGCTGTCGCAGGCCGGGCAGAAGGGAGCCCGACATAACGTGATGCTTGTAAAGCAAGGAGACGAAGAATACGTCATCAAGGAGTTCGTACTCTCAGACAGCACTAGGGGAAGCAGACGCTTCCTGCGTGAAGCCAGCATCTTGCGTCGCTTGGAGCATCCTTACATCATGAAGCTGAGCAGTGCTTTTATCGAAGAGGGGAGAGAACTCGAGATGTCAGTCATGAAGGGATACCTGAAGATGCCGCTCCTCGTCGGAGGGACATTGTCGAGCTGGGTGGAGCATGTCAAACCCAGCGATCAGCACAAGCACAGGGTGCTGATGCAGGTGCTGCAGGGGCTGGAGCACCTGCATCGAAATAGGATCATCCACTGCGACATCAAGCCCGGCAACATCCTGATGACTTGCAAGGACGAGCGTGCAGAGCCGCAGATCGCGGACTTTGACGTGTCGAGGGAGCAAGAGGACCGAGCGAGGGAGCTGGCAGCGACAGTGACCGCAACCCTTGCCATGGGTACGCTGAGCTACATGGCTCCGGAGCTGCTGGACCCTTCCACGAGCAAGAAGCAGCTCTCGCACAAGTGCGACATGTACTCGTATGGCTTGGTGATGCTCGAGGTGTTGACAGAGGTATGGACAAGTGGGTCGCGGCGAGAGAACATCACGGTGATGGTGGTCAGGCTACAAGAAGAGGCGAAGGATCTTGTTTTTAGACTCATCGATTCCAATCCAAGCATGAGGCCTTCATCTGTCGAGGCTCTGACTCACCGCTACTTCAGCCATGCTATGATCCTGGAACGCGAACATCTTGACAAGGAGCGCGCTGACATGCGGGAGCGGCTCGATCGAGAGCGTCAGGCGCTGGCTACACAGCAAGACGAGCTGAACGAGAGGGAGAGGGAGATGCACCAGCGCAGGGAGCGCGTGCAGCGTGAGGAGAGGCAGCTGCTGGAGCAGCAGCGAGACCTGATGTCTAGAGGCAAGCAACTCGAAGACGACGACAGGTCCAGGAAGGAGCAGCTACAGAAAGAGAAGGCCGAGCTGAACAAGCAAGGTCAGCTTCTGCAAGACCAGCAGCGTCAGGTGCAGTCAGAGCTAAGGACGTTGAGCCAGCGGGAGGCCGAGCTCCAACGAAAGACAAGAGACGTCGAGACAGAGAAGCTGCTTCTCGCGCAGGATCGCGCGGTGCTGAAGCCTCCCTACTACTGGCAGAGTCAATCAAGCGGTACGAGCGCGGACATCAAGGTCGACCTTACAAGCGAATGGAAGGATAGGATACAAGAGCTGATGACGTCGACGTGTAAGTCGCAGTACCTCGGGCAAGGAAGAAACAACAAGGGCCTCAAGTATAAAGGATACGAGGTGGAGCGAGTCTTCCGTATAGAGCATGCGGGGCTGTGGTCGGCGTATGCTCTAGAGCGAAGATCTATAGGTCAGCTCATGTTGCAGCAGGGGAATCGACACCCTAAGACCAAGGTCAGCACCTGCAGAGACTGGATGAAGAGCTCGCTGCTACAGGACAAGACGAGCAACGAGGCGTTTCTGTTCCACGGGACAAAGCACGACATGGCGGATGCTATCTTGAAGTCCGGGCTCGACGAGCGGGTCTGCAGTCTGGAAGGCTTGTTCGGAGCTGGGGTCTACCTGGCGGAGAACTCCAGCAAGAGCGACGAGTACTGCACGCCTGACAGCCACGGGATCTGCCGCATGCTGCTGGTGCGAGTGGCGCTAGGAACGCCGTTCGAGGCCCTGCAAACGATGAGGAGAGCTCGACGACCACCAGCCATGCCGGGCAGCAGCCGGCTGCATGACTCAGTGATGGCGGTAACGCGAGACACTCACCCGCAGGCCTGTCTGGACAAGCACAGGGAGTTCATCGTGTACGACCGGCGGCAGACTTACCCTGAGTTGCTGATCGAGTTCAGGCGGGTGTGAGTTGCTCCGATAGACCCGATGACATCCGTGGGAACAGGCGGGTAGGATGACATCTTGACTGCTGGCACTCCCTGCATGAGAAGCTCTAGAGACTGTGAAGAACGACATAGAGTAGCATCGCTACATGTAGTGGTACCCTAAACCTTCTTCGAATCCTACTGAGATCCCATAGCTCTGACATATTGCCCACCCCTTGATTCTATTCCCCATCTTGTCGACATTCTCTCCTCAACATCCAGTTGATCCCTCGCAGCTGGTAATCGTACAGAGTGGTTCGTAGCCCGAGGGTCCGCAATGTTTCCATGTGGACAAGAGAGAGATTGAAGGAGCTCATAACCTTCTGCAAATCATCAATGATACCCTCCAGCGACTCTTGTGAGTTCTGTACAGTCCCCGCTGTCCGGTTGATCACGATTGGGGCGTCAGAGGTACCTTGGGTAACATTCACTGAGGTGAAGGGTAGTCCCGACCGTCTCAAGGCCTTGATCGCCCTTCCTCCAACATTACTCCCTCCTGACAGTCTGACGTCGCAATGCCACACCTCCTTCCTCTCCTTCCCATCGTTGCGATCCTCCCCTTGCAAACTCTCGTTTCCTTCAAGAACTCTCTGCAGGTACACTCGCGCCCAACAGCGCTTCTTCCAGGATACCGATGGGATGAACTTGCAAAGAAAACGGGCGACTGGTCCGTCCACGAAGCCTATAAGTTGATAAGCTTCGCGAATCTGCAAGAATGTCAATCATTCAAAAGGGGAAGAAGCAATTGTTCATCTGAAATCTTCGATATCATATCATCCCATCTCACCTCGCAGACATTTCTCAATATGTTTATGTCTACGTCAAATCCCCAGTGCACGTTGACATCTCTCACGCTCTTGGTGAAAACACATGTCGCGTTCATTCTTGCAATGAGCGTACTCGTCCGCTTCTGAGGCTCTCTGCTCGACGATCTCCTCCTCTTCACTCGGCGATGCAAACCGAACGTGAAGGGACTGGCTGTGTGATCCACACCTGCTGCAAGCACTTAGATGATGATAGGGAGGAGAAGACAAACGCACGGAGACTTGGCTGACGGTGAAAGCAATCGGGAGCTGCCACGGCTGCTTGCATTAGCATGCAGTTTGAATAAGAAAGAAGAGAAGCAGCAAGGAAGAGGAGGAAGAAGGAGAAGGAGGAAGAGGAGGGAGGAGGTAGGAGGAGCAGGAGAAAGAGGAAGAAGGAGAAGGAGGAGCAGGAAGGAGGAGGAGGAAGCAAGAGCGGGAAGGAGGAGGACGAGGACGAGGAAGGAGGAGGAAGGAAAGCTATCCAAGTAGCAGAGAGGAGCAACCCAAAGGGAGATGCCAAGGAAGAGAGGGAGGATGTACAGCCACAAAGGCAGAAACAAACACGCACAGCTTCCGAGAAGCTCCGATGACAATCGAGATCCTTTCCAGGGATTACGAACAGCAGAGAAAGCAATGTTGGCCGTCTCTTTGGCATCGTCGTCAAGATTGCTGCAGACAGAAAACACCTCATAGGGAGTTCACATGAAAATCTTTCGTCACTTGTATCCGCTGATCTCGCTGGCTCGTCCAACAGCATGAGACGGGACTTCAACATGATTTAAGTGATACCAAAGACTGTATGAAAATGGTCACCAAAAACCTCAAAGGATACACAAGGTGATGCGAGGATAAGAAAAGGGGGTCCGACGGCGGGGGGTGTGAAAGGAGGGAGTCGTACCGGGTGTGGTGCAGGCTGGTGGGAGGAAAGAGGGACGGAGACCCCGTGGGGTGCGTGAAGGGCTTCAGCAGAGACGCAGGCAGAGGCGATGGAAACCTGGGTAAAACGAGGATGCGAGGAGGGGAGGCGGACTGGGAGAAGATGGAGGTCCTCTACCAGAGGCAGCTCAGCGAGGAGGCGCAAGAGGATTCACGAGATACAAGAGCCACAGTGTGGAAGGGGAGGAGGCGGATGAGGGTGTACGGGGTGGTGCTGCACATATGCAACGTGAAGTGGGGGATACATGATATAGAGAGTCAGCCGTGGTCAGCTTCATGTATAGGTGGCCTGAGCTTGATCTTGTCTCCAGGGCCTTGAGCCTACTCCAGTTCTGCCCCCGTCTTGCGCACAAAGTAGCATAGCTCTGCCTCATCCACTGACTCGCGTGCCCTCGCGATCTCGATCTCGTCTCCTGTACCTCGAGCCTTGTCAAGCTAAGCCTCTCTCTTGTGCGACGACAAGCTTAGCCATGCCTGGTTGACTAACTTGGATGCCCTCGCGATCTCGATCTCGTCTCCTGAGTTCTCAGCCTCCTTCAGCTCTGCGACCCTGACGCTAAAGAGGGCGTCTGCGATCTTGATCTCGTCTCCTGTGTCCTCAGCCTTCTTCAGCTCAGCCTTTCTCGTATGCACAAAGTAGCTTAGCCTTGCCTGGTCGACTAACTTGGATGCCCTCGCGATCTCGATCTCGTCTCCTGTGACCTCAGCCTCCTTCAGCTCTGCGACCCTGACGCTAAAGAGGGCGTCTGCGATCTTGATCTCGTCTCCTGTGTCCTCAGCCTTCTTCAGCTCAGCCTTTCTCGTGCGCACAAAGTAGCTTAGCCATGCCTGGTCGACTAACTTGCGTGCCCTCGCGATCTCGATCTCGTCTCCTGTGACCTCAGCCTCCCTCAGCTCTGCCTTCCTGACTGTCAGGAGGGCGTCTGCGACCTCGATCTCGTCTCCTGTGACTTGAATCATATCGAGGTATGTCTTCCTGTACTTGAGATATGCCCCTGCAATCTTAATCTTGTCTCCTTTGATCTTCGCCTCGTCAAGCTCTGCTTGTGTCAGTCTGAAACGCGCCTTTGCGATCTCGATCTCGTCTCCTGTGTTCTCAATCTCCTTCAGCTCTGCCGTCCTCCTGAGCAACGACAAGCTTATGCTTGCCTGCCTGGCTAGCTCGACTGCCCTTTCGAACTTTATCTGGCCTCCTCTCAGCCAAACCTCCTCCAGCTCTGCCATCCTGAGGGCAAGAAGGGCCTCTGCGATCTCGATCTCGTCTCCTGTGACCTCAGCCACCTCCAGCTCTGCCTCCCTGACCCTGATTCGTGCCTTGAGGATCTCGATCTCGTCTCCTGTGACCTCAGCCTCCTCCAGCTCAGCCTCCCTGACCCTGATTCGTGCCTTGAGGATCTCGATCTCGTCTCCTGTGACCTCAGCCTCCTCCAGCTCAGCCTCCCTGACCCTGATTCGTGCCTTGAGGATCTCGATCTCGTCTCCTGTGACCTCAGCCTCCTCCAGCTCAGCCTCTCTCTTGCGCAACGACAAGCTTAGCCATGCCTTGTTGACTAACTTGCGTGCCTTCGCGATCTCGATCTCGTCTCCTGTGACCTCAGCCTCCTCCAGCTCTGCCTCCCTGACTCTCAGGAGGGCGTCTGCGATCTCGATCTCGTCTCCTGTGACCTCAGCCTCCTTCAGCTCAGCCTCTCTCTTGCGCAACGACAAGCTTTTGGCTGTCTGGTCGACTAACTTGGATGCCCTCGCGATCTCGATCTCGTTTCCTGCGACATCTCCCTGCCTTTTCTTCGTGTGTGACCGGTCATGACTCCATGCAAACCGACTCTGATTGTCTTGTTTCTCACGATCAGGCAACTGCGGACCTCTACCTGTCGTGCCGTTTGCTCTCCGCTCCGCACGTCCCTCGAAAGCCTTGCTTGCTTCATGCTTCATTGCACTGGCAAACCATAAAGAAGCAACCGTCAGGATGCAACAGACAATTCAATCTCTCTCCGCGAAATCTTCCCGATCCTCCGCTCACAAACTCACTATCTATGGCACCTCACTCCTGCTGCGTCACACTCCTCTACTCGCCGGCTTCACCTCCGATCACCCATCCATGTTTCACAATCGCCTACCTCGACAAGCGCAGCAGGCCAGAAGAGCTCCTCAGCTTGAGGCCGCGAGCGATCGGCAGCTGCCTCAGGGAGGGTACAAGCGGCAGGTAGAGCAAGGTTCCGACAAAAGAAACAAGCGACATGCCCGTCTTCTCGGTAGGATTCCACCCCCACCCCCTAGATGACACAGTTCTCGGTAGGATTCCACCCCCACCCCCTAGATGAGACAGTTCTCGGCAGGAAGGATTCCACCCCCACCCCCTAGATGACACAGTTCTCGGTAGGATTTCACCCCCTCCCCCTAGATGACACAGTTCTCGGCACCCCCTAGATGATCTCTCCTCTTAATAACGGAGCCACCCGCCTCAGACCATCAGTACCAAATGCATAAAAGGCAGCAACAAGACATACCCGCAAGATACCATCTCACACAAAAGGCAGCAACAAGACTTATTCTTCTTTTTTTTAGTTTTACACTCTGCTGATAGGATTAGCTTTTCTTTTTTGGACCACCCCTCCTCCCTCCTCTCCCCTCCTCTTACCACCCCCTACCCCTCCCTAGACCAGCCTCGCACCCCCTCGCTCCCTCGCTGCACGTACCCCCCCTATCCCCTCCCCTCCCCTCCCTCGCTCCTCGGCCCCGCCATGGCAGCGGACCAGGGAGCGCTCCCGTCCTTCATCTGCCCCATCAGCATGGCGCTCATGACCGACCCTGTCACCTGCTGCGATGGCCACACCTACGAGAGATCCTCCATCGAGACCTGGCTCCGCCATCGTCTCTCCAGCCCCCTCACCGGCGCCCTCCTCCCCTCTAACCACCTTGTCCCCAACCTCGCTCTCCGCAGCGCCATCCAGGAGTGGCAGGAGCGACACGCGCTGCTCGTCCCCAGCCACGACGTGGAGATGGAGCGGCAGCCTATCTCAGCAGGCTCCTCCCAGACCCTCTACATAGGTCACCTCCGCGTGCAAGGAAGGAGAGCAGGGCCCGGCAAGATCAAGGTAGCCGTGCTCAAGCTCACGCAAGACGACGGCGGCAGACAAGCCGCGGTCATGCTCAGACTCGGGCCGCATCCTCGGCTTGTACGCTACATGGGGCAGAGCCACGACGCCGACGGCTGTCCCCTGCTGCTGACCGAGCTCGCCGAGCTGGGGTCGCTGAGGGAGGCGCTGCTGGGGAGGCTGGCGGGGCAGGTGACGCGAGGGCACCAGACGGCGATGATGGAGCAGATCGCGCAGGGCATGGAGCACCTGGCTGAGCAGCGGGTCGTGCACCGGGACCTCGCGGCTCGGCACGTGCTGGTCATGGGCTTCGACAAGGAGGACGTGGGGAGGACGTCGGTGAAGGTGGCGGGGTACGGGCGGGCAGGGGAGCTGGTGGACGGGAGTGACGGGAGGGTAGCGGGGCGAGCGCTGCCGGTGCGGTACATGCCCCCAGAGTCCATGCAGAGAGGCCGGTGCTCGGAGAAGAGCGACGTGTGGGCCTACGGGGTCACGTGCTGGGAGATCCTGACCTCGGGCATGACCCCCTACTACCCCATGACGGACCCGACTGTGATCGGGTACGTGTGCGGGGGTGGGAGGCTGCCTCGAGAGCACCTCCTCGGAGGATGCCCGGACGGGTTGTGGGCCCTGCTGGAGAGCTGCTGGGCGACGAGGGAGGAGGACCGCCCGAGGTTCGCCGAGCTTGCTGTAGCTGTAGAAGAGCCGGAGCCGAGGGGGATGAGGAGGCTGCTGCATGGACAGGGTCAGACAGGACGCCTGGACAGCAGCGGGCAGGGCCGGCAACCAGTCGCTATGCCGAGGCATACGCAGCATGGCAGAAGCTGCATGGAGAAGGATCGGAGAGGCAGCGGGGGGAGGGATCGAGGCGGTGGCGAGGAGAGTCAGGAAGCGCAAGTACGCAGAGCTCGTGGAGCTGCAAGAGTCAGCTTGCACCGCCTTGGAGTCCACGGGCAGCGACGCTCTCAGCTCGCTGAGGACGGGAGCTCAGGCGCTGTCGGCAGCGGTAGGGGCACAAGACGGAAGCGGGATGGAGCAGCCGGCAAGGGAGGCATGGAGGCTGCTGAGGACGGGAGCCGACGACAGCATAGAGGCGGTGATGCAGGAGATGAGGACGTACGAGGCTCTCGCGGAGGTACAGCAGGCTGCGTGCGAAGCCTTGGTCAGCATGGCTCAGCACGGGGAGGCTAACAAGGTCAAGGCGCGAGAGGCGGGAGCGATCGAGGCCGTCGTCAGCGCCATGTCCACGCACGGAGACGACGCGGGGGTACAGCAGGCTGCGTGCGAGGCCCTGAGGCATACCGTCAGTGTCATCAAAGAGAGTCAAGCGCGAGCACGAGAGGCGGGAGCGATCGAGGCCGTCGTCAGCGCGATGACCAAGCACGCGGACGACGCGGGGGTACAGCAGGCTGCGTGCTGGGCAATGAAGCATACCGTCAGTGTCATCGAAGAGAGCCAGGCGCGGGCACGAGAGGCGGGAGCGATCGAGGCCATCGTCAGCGCGATGACCAAGCACGCAGACGACGCGAGGGTACAGCAGGCTGCGTGCGAGGCCCTGGACTACATTGTTAGCTTCAGGGATGAGAGCCAGGCAAGGGCACGACAGGTGGGAGCGGTCGAGGCCGTCATGAGATGCCTCGATAGGCACGCGAACGACTTGAAAGTACAGCAGGCTGCGTGTGAGGCCCTGAAGTACACAATGCAGTACTTCCGATACCAGGGCACAGCGAGAGATGCGACACCGATCGAGGCCGTCGTCAGCGCCATGACCAGGCACCAGAGCAACGCGAAGATACAGCAAGGTCTATGCAAGGTGCTGACAGCGATAGCCGAGAGCCACGAGCAGAACAAGCTCCCGGCCATGCAGGCGGGAGCGATCGAGGCCGTCGTCAGCGCCATGTCCACGCACGCAGACAAGCAATGGTTACAAAATGATGGATGCGAGGCCTTGCGCAGCATGACGGAGGGCATGGCTGACAGCCAGGCGCGGGCGCGGGAGGCGGGAGCGATCGAGGCCGTGCCATGTCCACGCACGCGGACAACTGGTGCTTGCAGTGGTCAGCATGCGAAGCCCTTGAGAGCATGACGGAGGGCATGGCTGACAGCCAGGCGCGGGCACGGGAGGCAGGAGCGATCGAGGCCGTCGTCAGCGCCATGTCCACACATGTGGACGAACGATGGCTACAGTGTGATGCATGCAAGGCCTTGCGCAGCATGACGGAGGGCATGGCGGACAGCCAGGCGCGGGCGCGGGAGGCGGGAGCGATCGAGGCGGTAGCGAGGGCGATGCAAAGGCATGAGGGCAGCGGGTGGTTGGAGGATAGCGCGATGGAGGCTCTGAGCAGCCTTGCTAGCGACAACTCGTACAACATCCGACGCATCCGACGGCTCCGAGGCGCCGCCCTGCCTCCCAACATCCCCGTCACCCGTGCTTCTGAGGCGGGCCGACGGCTCAGGTCCGTGCTCGAGCGACGCGATGCCGAGTGATGGGGAGGGTCGTGGTGCAGCTGGAGGGGAGGCGGGGATGGCGGGGAAGGGACAGAGCTTGTTCGTGCTGCTAGGGGCAAGAGCTGGCTGTGAGACGAGCGTCGAGCAGAGGGCTGAAGCTTTCTCAGCTTGTCGGTCAATGTTGCGGTCAACAATGATTGTACCTGATAGAAGCGCGTCATGCTCTCTACCTCTCAGCTCTTCTCGTCCTCCACCCCCATGTCTGTCTATGCGGGCTAGCGCTCGCTTCTGCTCTACGGCGCAAGCCGACAGCCCAGCTGAGCATGGCAAGACGCCATGCGACATCCGATGCGAGCTCGGGGAGAGAGGGCATGACGACGTCGCTGCTACAGGCGAGGAGGCAGCGGAGGGGATCACGGACGGAAGAAGGAGGGAAGCGGAGGGGAGGGAGGGGAGGAGGAGACTTGTATCATGTGAGAGAAGCTTGAGC